TTAAGTAATGACACTTCCATTTCAAAATAATGAAGTCAGGCTGCTGTTTTTCAAGTTAAGCCATAAGCAATCTGTTTTAATCTTCTCCAATTTTACCCACCCATACATGTCCCTTTTTGTTTTTTTTGAGAATTGTTTTGAGTTCTTTTACAATATTAAGCCATCGCTGTGATATTTCAGTTAATTCTACGAACATTTGATCAGTCCTAAAATTGCCTGAAATTGTGAGACCTAGCCCTTTTAAGATATGACTGATATTCTACCTTAGGGCACTTGAGTTCCCATGGTATGTCAGCCATAACATCAACAGCATCTGCTCCACCAACACCAATACACAAACCACCAAGGCCACCTTGAAACAAAAGGGTGTGTCAACATAAAAGTGGTGCATAATTACATGTATGATGTAAGAAAGTAAATAATATAATTATGTGAACTGTTGGTGAACTACTTTTAATGGGCAAACGATCTTTGCAGTCATAAAGAAAACGTGACATAAAGTTCTCATACCCATTTAATATTTCATCAAGCAAAAACAAAGGAAATCATGACTCTGACTGTGGTGTTTGGATATCTGATCTTGCTTAGTATGGATTGCTACAATTTTATTTCTTAAGTTTCAATTGAGAAGATATATCAAACACTCAAGAAAGTGTTTGACCACATTACCAAACACCTTGAAGCTCATCAAAAATACTCTGGTACGCATCATATTTTCAACTCTCTTCTCGGAAATGTAGTAAAACGCAGTCTTTCGTGTTTGATATACTACTTGAAGCTTTGATGAGAATTCAACTCATATTTTCAACTCTCATCTTGGAAATGTAGTCAAATGAAGTCTTTCGTGTTTGATAATATTACTTCAAGCTTTAATGAGATTTCAACTCATATTTTCAACTCTCTTCTTGGAAATGTAGTCAAATGAAGTGTTTCGTGTTTGATATATTAATTCAAGCTTTAATGAGATTTCAACCCATGACCTTTGCAGTGCCAGAGCAGAACCTCTGCGTATCAGCTATCAGAATGAGACACCTATCTAACATGGAAATGACCTTCCATGAGTGGGTAGGGATCTTTTCCGCACTTTTAAACTAACCTCCATTTGGTGTGTGACTGTCAGTGCCAATCAGCAGCACACCAGGAAAACCATAATTTTCCAGAACGATTTGATGAATGATTCCGCTGCCTGGTTTCCAAAACCCAACACCATATTTCGCCGAGGCTGTAGCTAAGAAATTATAGACTTCTTCATTGATTTCTTTAGCTTTCTTCAAGTCTTCTTCACCTCCAACCTGTGCTTCTATCAAGTGATCACAGTGGACAGTTGTTGGAACCGCAACCTTTGTACAAAATTAACAACAAAATTTAATTGAAGCCACTGTAGCGTATAGACAATTCTGATTGCTCAAAATTTATCAATTGAAGAAGCTAGTCATAAAAGGGGATAAGTGACGATTTTGGTTGCTTTTCTTTTTTCTTGCTCCAAATTAGCTGAATTTTTGCATGTGGTCTTCANCTACGTTTTAACTCGAAAACAAAGCAAAAACCAGCGACAAAAATACAGAACCATGTTTTTCTATTACATTGAAGACCACATGCAAAAATTCAGCTCATTTGGAGCAAGAAAAACGAAAAGCAACCAAAATCGTCACTTATCCCCTTTTATGACTAGCTTCTTCAATTGAGCAATTCACCAATGTTTTGATGGGATGACTGCATCAGCTTTGCTAAGCAGTCTTCCACAACAAGACGATAAGGCAATCACAGATAACACTACTGACAATGATTTCACAGCTTTTTCTAACATAGCAATTTGCTACATGTACATGTGGTATTCATTATTTCTGGAACTTGCTGGATGGAGAAGGTTGCTATTAGTCAGAGTTTACTGTTGAATTTAAAAACACAACACAGTGAAAATGGTCACAGCTTGAAATCTAGATGTTTATCTGAATTTAAAGTCCAGTGAACTATCTGTAATGTCAAATCTACTCGAAAAAGCACCATGACATTTCCTACATTTTTAAAGTTTTGATGCCATGTTTATTCAAGGGCAGCACTTATTCAAGGGTGGTTCTTATAATTTGTTACCCAACAATGATGGCATCAACCACTGAAACTCCATTCAAAATATCAGTGCCACTCTTTTTTCCATACTGGAATCAAGTGGACGCATAGAAACATACGCCTCTAGTCTTATAATAAGCACCTCTTTCGAGCTCAAGTAAGAGTGCAGCACTTATTTGAGGGCAGTTCTTTTAATTCATACATTTGTGGCCATTTTGTGGTACTTAATCAAGGCAGTACATACACCATGACTAAAAGTTAAGCCTCTGTTTTGTCTTTTAGAGAGTTCTGGATGCACTCACCTTAGGAAGTCCACTAGAGATAAACTGAAGCATAGCCATCTGAAATCAAATTAACACATCAACTTGTGTGTTGACTGAAGTGGGATAGGTCAAGGCTAAAATCAATTAATTTTGATAAATGACAAAGTTTTCTCCAAAGAGTGGGTGCATATCCACATATTGACCACTTACAGACACCCTAATAACATAATGAAAAGTTTTGCTCAGCAGCTGGCTCAAAACCAGAAAGGTGTTGATGGAGAAATTTTCTCAGATATTAAGTTTCTGATGCGCAGGTCAAGGGAGATTTTCTACATGTCATGAGCAGGTTTCACTTATATACATGTAACATGGACAGCACGTTCTTCCTTTCCAACAGGTGCATATGCTACATAAGACAGAACTGTAAATTTATCCTATGGCCTTCTTGTCACTAGTTCTACCATTTTGCATTCAAGCAAACATGGATAGAAGAAATTGGTCACCTACAATAATATAAGTTGGGGCCATCATGAAAGGGAACACTGAAGTTCCTTCAGCCATGGCTGTCAATAGGGGCCGTAACCTGTAACGTCTTTTATGGCTGAGTACATTTGATGGGCCCTTGATGTTACACGTGAACTCGCCTTTAAGGCTGTTGTTGATATCATCCATGCACAAAGTTACAAGTTTGAAACGAATGTGAAGATCAATACTACAGCAGAATCAAAATTTGATGACTGCCCTGCTTCAGTAATATAGAAGTCGTATGTTCCTACCTAGACAATTTTAGTAACTTGTTTCAGTTGTAATGTAATTTAACAGCAGCTGTAAAATAAATGTAGAGCAGTTTTCAATTGAGTGTCAAAAGTAATCAGGCAGTTACTTTGGTTTTGAAACAACAAAAAAAAAATGATTGATTGAAATGATGGAATGATTAATTATTTTTGGTTTTGGTTTACCTACAGTTTGAGATTGGCTGAGTAGTCTAATTGGTATGTAATTAGTTGGTCTTGGTTTTACAGCACTCATCTGAAAACCACTCTATTTTGTAATGAATAGAAACCATTCATGTAAGCACTCCTCTGAGACTTCTTGTTACCTGAGCTGTAGCATCTTGCATAGCAACACGATCAGGCCTCAACTTTAAGTATGACACACCCCTTTTTATATCCTGTCAAAACACGACCAAGAAGCTAAAATAATTTGTAAGAACATTTCTGCTCCAAAAAACACACATGTATGCATAGAACAATACTCTAGCATACAACTGAACAACCCTAGAGTAATAAGCACTTAATGACTGGTCCCAAGGGAAACAGTGAGTTTTGTCTCCCCAAGAACCTCAATGTTGAAGCCAAGGGGAACATTAACGTCAAGGGGGAAACAAAACTCACTGTTTCCTGTGGGGCCAGTCATTAAGTGTTCTGTTATACCTCCTAACTCAAAAATAGAAAAAACTGCGAAGAAATCGTTTGCTTGACACCAGCTGACTTACAAATTTGTCGTGGTTTCAAGAAGCACGACCTGATCATGTGCGAGTCAAAGGTTCAAGTTGTTGTTTCCCTAGGGAGTTAGTGAGTTTTGTGCACCCTAGAGAGTTGGTTCAGTTTTGACCCACGACATGACATGTTCTCCTCCAATCGGAAAATGTATTTGAGTTGGCAGGTATAACAAAGAGTCTTGTCTTGGTAAAAGAGCATCTGACTCAATATTCTGTTTTTATAACGGGAATGGTATCTGAAACCAATAAGCTTGGAGATGCCTGCAAAATATCTGTTACCTTAACTGATAACATAACTATGTACTTATTGGAGCTTGGGAACTAGGGTACTGAACTATGAATCAATTAGTGCAGAATATTATATTACATTCTTCAACGTAGCTACGTGTAAGTTAAACTACGCAGGTTCATTACTAAACTCACCCCGCTTTTCTATCCTGTGTACCTTCAAAATTATCTATTCTAATTCTTTGATTTCTAATGAAGTTTCAGCTGATGATGAGCTGGTTGTTAGCTACATTTCTGAATTGGGAATATCTCTGTATTATGAATAATGGTGAAAATGTTTTGATAGTCATAAACTAAACACCTCCACCAGCAGTCAAAATGTATGTACATGTACTTGTATGTAAAAGAAGAGAATCCAATATGCCAAATGCATTGCCAACATTGATTGTGCCACTGTACAAGACAACAGCACATGTTTGTCAGCATATAATAGTAAGAATAGTGCCGATATCGATGTTATACTGGTGGTGTGTTTGCCAAACTGTTCCCATCTGTTTACTAAAAATAAGCCACAAAAGCAAGAAAGTTCCTATGATTAATTTTAAGTCTATTGTACCTGGTTTGCTGGGTCATCCAAATGAGAGTAAAGAATTTTTTCAGACAGAGTCAAAGGCCTGTTAAGCCTGTAAAGAAATGATTTTGCTGCTAAATAAAAACAGCCTTCATTTGTCAAATCAGAAAAACCAGGATAAAATTGTTACTCTTATCACTAATACATGTATCTAGGTGCTTCACAGTTTGAAAAATTTAAAAACCAATTTTATGGTATTATGGAGCTTTTTCCACATCAAGAAGGTAGTAGACAGGCTTTAAAAGGCTGTGAACTATCTTCTTGAGAAGAAAAGGACTTCCTTCCACAAACTCTCCTGACTGCAAGCTAAATGAACAAATAAATGAATGAATGAATGAATGACTGAATGAATGAATGAATGAATGAATGAATGAATGAATGAATGAATAACTTTATTGCCGTGTCAAAAATTCTAGCTAGCTGTAAACAGTACGCTATTATTGTGGACACCTACAGTACCGCTCAGAAGAAACCTTCGCGTTTTGCGAACAGTTACAGAATGGATACAGAACGGGTATGACAAGACGAACACAATGGGTACAAAACGGGTACAGAATGGAACGGGTACACATGGAAATGGAACGGAAACTGAATGCGTTCTGTCGAGCATTCCCTGTGAAGTTTCTTCTTCTCGGTCCTGTATTATATACTAATAATAATTCTAAAATTCCAATCATTAAAAACATATGGGACATAGCTAATTAACTACAGCATAAAAGAAGACTAGGCTAATAAAACTGATTAGGACATAAGACAATTAAGTACAATTTTCGCTAATTAATTCCGTCAGGTTCATTGTTCTTAGCTGACTTTTAAATTTGTTAAGGGTTTCTGACTTTCTAAGGTCTTTACTCAGCTTTGCCCACAGTTTAGGCCCTAGATAGCTTAGGCTGTGTTTGCCATGAGTTACCATGTTGAACCTGGGTATGCCAAAGTCCGCATTTCTCAGAGTGTGGCAGCTTATATTCTTATGAAACAGTTTACCTATATAGGAAGGGGCAATGTTGTTTTTGACCTAATAAGAGATAATAATATTATGTGTAGAGTAGGTAGTTGGGCCATTTGCAATAGTTCCTCATATGTGGTACTCTTGCTGCAATAAACTGCATATAATCCTTGTTCCTGTAAACATTCCACTTTGTGTGTACTGGATGAGCAACAAAAGTCCCATACTATTTGACAATAGGTCAGGTGTGGTGGTATTGCTAATTTGTAGATCTCAAGTTTGGCTTTTGTTGAAATCATGTTCCAGCACTTACGGTGAACAATGAGATTTARATTTAATTGATTTAACTATAAYTTTTAACTATAAGTAATTATTAGATTTTATTGTAATTTTTATCAAATTTAAGATTTTCTATCACCATTCTTACTAGCTTTTAGGGTTGCGCCTCACATGGGTAACTTTATTTTCCCGTTCGCGCAATTCCTATTGGTCCTTTTCTTCTTTTAATTATATTGTAATTTTGTGACCAATAAAGTTGATAGACACAGACACAAAGTCATATTAAAGCAAAGTAAGGTAAGTATGCATAAGAGCCAAGTGGACCATCAGGCTGGTGCTTAAATCTCCAGTGGTTTCTGTAGCATGAAGTGATTAGGAGTATTTTTACTCCACCCCCTCCCTCTGGCCCCGGATGGGATGCTTCTCCATTCCAGGGTTACCCCCAGCATTAAATTCACCGGTGTACATCTGGGTGGAGAGAGGCACTGTGCTTTAAAACCATTTTTCCAGGACTTACCTATCACGAACTATTCTCAAATTGTCTTCCAAGTGTTGATAATTCAGATATTTGTCTGGTTCAAATTTGCTCAAAGCCACCTTGGTAAGGAAAAAAAAATCAAAGTTCAAATTACCTCATTTACTCTAACTATACATAGCTGGCACAAGGCCACAGACTAAATGCAATTAATACATATAGGGGGTCTGTCTCTTCATGTAGAGAGCAACCCCTTTTCATTTTAACCATTTGTATAGGTAATCACATTAAATGTAAGTGCAATTAATTAAGGATTAACACTACAAGTCATATTATAAAATTCTCTCAAAATTGCACAAGCCTTTAGGTGAGTGCAATTTTTAGAAAGAATTTCAATTGTCATGAGTAATGACACAAGTAGTGTTATGTTGTGCTACACAATGGTTTTACCATAATTATAATGGTCAGTTTGGTCCTGGAAAATTAAAGTGCACCTAACCCTTTTCTTTTTTCTTGGCTAAAACGAACCTACTTGTTGTTTGAAATATTTTACTTCTGCAAAAAAATTTTGGACTCTGTTAAATCCTTGATTTTCTGTACCCAACGAAATCTCAACAATAGCCTAAAATTGCCACCATTTTGTTTCACAACCATTTTTGAGGAGAATGGGTCCAGTGGCTATTGTGACGTCCACCCACGAAAGTTGAGTACCTACGTGCAGAGGTCACCAAGTCTTGAAAACTGCAACACTTACGTCGCTCTTATAAACATGAAGCATTCCAGAAAGTAAAACACAAACTGGATTTAATAGAACAACCATACCTTGACAAAATACAATCTCGTTAACGACAAATGTAAACAGGCTATAAGCATGCATGGGAATCTTGTGTTTAGGTGACGAAATTACCATCCAACTGATTCAAAGCAGTCCTTGAGATTTCTTTCGTGCTTTTTGATTGCCTGCTCCTCCACTTCGTATCTAGCTTTCCATTCCTAATATACAAGCATCTCGTCCACAAAGAAGTCTTCCCTGTCGTCACTTGAAATATTGCAAATTGCTCTCAAAGCTCTAAGCAGCGAGTTCACAGTTGTCAAATGTGTTCAATCGAGGTTTATTTTGGAGTCTTCTGAATCCAAACTTAACTCTGACTCCAGTGACGAAAAAGAAATAATTTGAAACAAAACTCGAGACATTTTAGTCCCAAAATATATTGGAATGATTAGTTTTGTTTTCCATTTTCTTGAGCAAATACCGAGAGCCGACTGAGACGCTATTGTGTTTGATTCATGGGGAGACGTCATCAGCAACTGCCATCCCAGACTCCCTAAACACGGTCGCACAACAATTCAGCGTGACTTTGAAAGAGCATAGAAAATTGAGGATTCAACCAAATTCAAAAATGCTTTTGCTCAAATGCTTTGAATAACAAGTGGATTCATTTTTATTAGTGGAAAAAAGTTATTGGGGTTAGGTGCACTTTAAGCAAGCATTAATTTTATGTGTGTTAATTCTACTTCTTCTTTTCTTTCCAACCGCACCATTTTTAAAATACTATAATTTTCAATATATGAATGTAACCACATTTTTTGAAAGAATTTACTAAATAAATGATTTCTAGATATAGACAATAGTTATCAGAGTCATCAGATTAATTGTGGATACAGTAATTATGTCCAACCAACTTGTAACATGTCTAGCCAAAAGAGAGATTTGAAAGGAAACATGTCCAGCTATGCTGATAATAAAAATCACTTCTAGTACGGAAAACACTGTCACATCTACATGTATTTTCTCCACACCACATCAATAGTAATATAGAGTCAAGCAGACAAGAAATTACCTTTTGCGCAGCAACATACGAGGTGGTGAACAGTCTGCCATGATAGACTGCTGCTCGGACAGAAAACAAAGCCTGAAATGAAGATGAAACCAGCTATGAACATGGCATGAGCTGCAAGCACGAGTAAACACACTCTAAAAAGGACACACTTGGGATAAGTTCTTACTGTCCCTAAGTAGTGAATTACAGCATGAACATGGAATGAAAATAATTAAATGAGTGATAAAAACAATAGGGAGCTACCTCTACTATCTGAGTAACAGATGTCTGCTTGCCTTTGCACCAGCTCTTAGACAGAGACAGGGGGACAAAGTATGTGGAAGAGGCCCTCCTTTTATCCTCTTCCTATCTAATCCTCGAGTAGGTATCCTGCTTACAGGTAAACATATATATGTCTGAAGTGAAAAATGTCCTTTTAGAGGGAAGAAATTATACATATGATGTAGGCCGATTTGTTCTTTAGGTTAGAATGATTTTCATTCATTCATTCATTCTACCTGCTCCTATCCATCGGCACTCACTTATTCCCATAATTTGGATCTTCATCTGATTCATCACTCTTGCAACTTGTGCGGACTTTCCTGCAGTATACATTGTTCTCACATTCCAGTTCCCTATTCTAATCTGAGTCCTTGGGGTCATTAGTGGTTTGTTCAGCTCCTGAGCATCCTCTCGGCTTTGGCTCAAGGGCGTCATACTTTGCCTACCTAAGCAAGGTACCACATTGGCCCCAAGAGAAGGTTGCCTTCGAGTGTTTAAGGTTTCTGTAATCTGCTTTGTTTTAAGGGGGCGGGTGATTGACCCACCGCCCAACCCCCAACCTGGAGGACCAGG